TAATAATTTATTTTCTCCCAGTCGTTAGCTTTGCAGGAAAGCACAGAAGCTTTGATTCAAAAAAAGTTGACGGTTCCATCGTAGAAATTTTTTTTGAAGAACGGCCTCCGCCACGCCCATTTTCAGCCTCCACCTTTTACCAAAATTACCCCTGCGCCACCGCCAATATGCACTTACCGTCTCACATCAGTTCCCGTGACTACCGTCAAAGTATCAAATTCCGATGTGAAATTGAACATTGATGTGAACTGCTGAAGAAAAAAAAAGCTGAAAATCTCAAATTCAATTTCAAAAAGCATACCGATGCATAGTAGGAATTCGGCACATCCCACTTACAGTACATTAGCCTACAGTGCGGCGGTATATCCATCTGTATACTGCCTTGATTTTGCATCACCTTCGTTCCCTTGTGGGGACAAACACATTCTAAAATGCAAAGTAAGTCTTACGGTAATCGTCGTTCTATGAAAAATAATTCTTTTAAGCCAAACTTTTGCTTTGTTACGAAAAAGATTTTTGCGAAAAAATTGAGTCCACGACTCCTTGCGTTTAGCAAAATAATTTTTTTGTTATTCCTCATCAGTAAATAAGTTTATGGCCATCTATTTTGTATTGAATCATTCAAAGCAGTTTATAAGCAAAGCAGATGGCTTGTTCAGCTCGTACTTCCCCTAAAATTTCATTTTCTTTCCCCTTCGTCATCCACTTCCTAGAAATTTTTGAGCGATCCTTGTCCAAGTACTTACTCACCTTCAGGCATCCATACAGACTCAACGCTCATATTATAGCCATGACGAGTTACCAGTCGATCTGTGACAAACTCAGTTTCCATAGTGTCACCGGTCAGAACAATTTTACTGTCATCATACGTTCCATTCAGCCTGTAATGTATCACAGGCTTTACTGCAACTGGGCTTGTCGACGATGCTGAGAAAGGGGGGAAAGGAGGCAGCGTAGCAGGAGGAACCAAAGGCCCTGACGCCATATCCGCAGGAGGCAATTAAGAGCGCGAGCACTGT